GGCAGCGGTAGCGTCGTCGAGCGGTGCAGACAAAGGAGGGGCGGAGGGAGGAGACCGAGGGTGTGGGAGAGGCGGCTTCACCGGCGCGGGCAGGCGGGCGGCGGCGGCCGCGCTCCTCTCGCTCCTCAGCAGCGGGGACCGAGAGAGGGAGCTGTGTCTGAGGAGACGCCAAAATCCCCCTTAGCGCTGCCTGCGGGAGGGGGAGGGGGCACAAGATGGCGGCGGCCGGGGGGGCGGGAGTTCAGCTCATGGATCCCGGCGGGCGGCGGAGGGGAGACCGGGCCGGCGGAGGCGGCGGCGGCAGGGGGAGGGGGCTGATCCCGCGTCTCCCCTCAGCAGACAATACAAGCGCCTCGGACCGAGTCCCCGAACCTGCCCTAGCCAAAATGGCGGCCGAGAAAGAGCGGAAGTGACGTAAGTGCCTTATTAGCATAAGAGGACTCATTGTCCAGCTAAGTAGGGGGGTAGTGGGGGACAGCACCCCTTCTCCCCTTTTGCCCCCCAGGGACAACTCTTACTCCTACCTGTGCTTACACCCAACTTTTCCTGAGGGAGGGTGCTCCTAGCACCCCCCCCCCACTCCCGCCTAAGGGAAATTATATAATCCCCACTGAGGGGAAGCTCTCGCGAGAACGAAGAGTTGCCATTGATCCACTAGGAGGCGCCGCGGATAATGGCCGCAGTGCGCTCCCAGGGCCCGTGTACTAGGCGGGCGCCTTCCTCTGGCCGCCGCTCTGGCGGCGGAGGCATAAGCATCGGCCGCAGCACGCCCAGCACTCAAGTCAGGTGGCCGTGCTGGGGATCCTTGCGCGGGCCCAGCTGGGCCTGGACTACATCTGGCGGGAGGGGAGTGCAGGGCAGTCCCGGGCGGCTCCACGTGCTTGGAGGCCTGGGCTCTCAAGGGCTGAGCAGCAGCAGAAGGGCAGGGACACCTGGCGGGTCGGTCCCTGATGCCTCCTGCCCTAAATGAGGTGTGAGGGCCTCGTGCTTCAAACACTGACTTGATAGGAGGTACAACGTCAAGGATGTTTGAGCCCTTATGGGTGGGGTGGATATTCCGTGGACAAGGGCTGATTCCTGTAGAAGATCCGCTGTTGCCCTATGACTTGACATTCTTCCAAGTCACAATGATGGATTCTTCTCTTTGGCCTGAAGAAAGCAAATCTCTATAGTGTTTTGAGGCCACCTGATTAGTGAAGCCTAAGGATGAGAAGTGAGTCAAATTGCCAATGGGCCTCCACAAGATCTTTAAAAGCACACGTTGTAGACCTAGGGACAGTAACTTTAAGTGCTCCCACAATTTAGACAGCATAAGACAGCACATGGACAGTCTGCATTGTGAATTTAGATCCATCCCAACCAATATATCACCTACTCAACGTTTTCAACCCAACTGTTATAGTAGAGTGCACCTGAGAATATATCATTGGCTAGATGTATTGAAAAGTAATAGATACCAATTATTAAGGATCAACCAAGCTTGTTTTCTTAACATGCAATCTGTAAATAAACCTGTCATTTGCAGTTTCTTTTTTTTTTTTTTT